AGGAGGGGGAAGGGAGGAGGAAGGGGAAGGGAGGAGGATGGGGGAGGGGGAGGCAGGAGCGTCCTCACGCCCCTTTCAAGAGCTGCATTCACTCGGCCTGGACCAGACAAGGGTGCTGAGAGCAAGGGCACCACCACCCCACCGCCCAGAGCCGAGGCCGGAGGGGGACCCCCACAAACAGCACCAGCCGTGCTGGGTCTCAGGCATCAGATGCAGACCTGTCCCCCTACCCCAGGCTGGGGCCCCTCCCACCTCACGCACAGACACTTGTCCTCACTCCGGCCTCCGCCAACTCCACATTCGAGCCTTTCAGGGGCACAAAGCACCGAGGCCCATCCACACCGGGCCGAACACATCCTCCTGAGATGGAAGCGGGGAAGAGGTTTCCGACCCCCGGGCCCCCGGGCCTGTGCCTGGAGCCCGGACTCGACCGTTCACACAGCGGCCGGGAGGCTGGAGCAGGGCGGTTCTCGGCGCGGGTCTCGCGTGTCTCTGGGAATGAAGTGTGCAGGGGGGGTTCTCCTCGGGTCCTGCGTGTGACAGATGGGGCTGGGCACAGGTGACTTCCTATGATCTCCACCTTCTCAAGAAGGGGAGGATGTGTCTTTTCCAGACATAAGAGATACATGAAACCACTTATTTCAATTTTGAAAATGTAGGACAAGGTAAGAACAGTCCATCTGCCATCAAGGCAGAAAATACGGGCCAGGAAAGTGTGTGGAGTGTGTGTCCACAGGTCGGGGGGGGACAGGCATCCCGCGGGTCTGGGGTGTAGTTAAGCCACACTGCTCCGGAGTCCGTCGTGGTTCATTCAGGCTCTTGTCCTACGGACACGAAGAGTGAGCACGTGGCGATCGACAGAGAGACGAGGGTGGGCGAAGCTGGCTTCCCTCACGCAGCCCCCGGCGGGCGAGAAGGCACACGAAGGGAACGCGCGTAGGAAGGGTTTGCCCTGACGCGAGGGAGGCCTGGGGAGCCGCGGAACCGCGAACCTCGGGACTGGCGGGGAGGACGGGGCGGGAAACGACCGCTGAGCTCTCGCGGCGTTCAAGGCCGCACGCGGCAGGATTTTGCCACATCCCAAGTCGTGACCATTATGCTCCAGAGTTAGGCTAAAGCGCGAAGCAGACACTGACAAAAGATGGAAAAAGTACGGGGTTTGGTCATTAAGAAAGCTGTTAGGCAGAGGTTTGGAGGGAGAGGGAGACGGAAGTGTGTGAGAGGGACCTTGCTCTCAAGGGTAACCTTTGCCCGAAAGGGAGCCTGCTCTCTCTTTTCTTGACGTGACCATAGCCAAGCCACTAAGGGGAAGTGTCCTTCCAGAGACCCCAGCCCACCACCTGTAGCTTCTCTGTAATCGTCTAAGGCCAAAGTCAGAGACCCTCTTCCCTTAGCTGTCGGCTACTTGTTGACTCATTTCAAGAAGGAGAGCAAACCGATAGTCATCCAACCTTTCTGAAAATGTGCTCTATTCAGCCATCTTTAAAA